CACTGAACAATCTAGAGCCTGGCTCATTGCTACAGTCACTATTTAAGCAAGTCTTTAAATATTCAATTAGATGGCTGTTTTTAGCTTTCCAAATTTTATAAAAGGATCACATAGCCGGGCGCGGTGGCTCAAGCCTGTAATCCCAGCACTTTGGGAGGCCGAGGCGAGTGGATCACGAGGTCAAGAGATCGAGACCATCCCGGTCAACATGGTGAAACCCCGTCTCTACTAAAGGTGCAAAAACTTAGCTGGGCATGGTGGCGCGTGCCTGTAATCCCAGCTACTCCGGAGGCTGAGGCAGGAGAATTGCCTGAACCCAGGAGGCGGAGGTTGTGGTGAGCCGAGATCGCGCCATTGCACTCCAGCCTGGGTAACAAGAGTGAAACTCCGTCTCAAAAAAAAAAAAAAAAAGGATCACATAACATTAAAAAAAAAAAAGACAGTAAACATATCCCACTTGAAGAAATAAATTTCCAAAACTCAATTCTTAAGAAAAAATCTTTGCATTATTTGACAAAGATGTCAAAATAATATCAAGTATGCTCAATAAAAAAATAGAAGACAAAAAAACTACTAGAAATTGTGGAACCAAAAAAACTTGAAAAATTTTGTAGAATCACAACAGAATTAATGACCAGAAACAATAACCAGAAAACTAGACAGATTATTTATAAATACTGAGTCATAAGAAAAAAAAAAGAAAAACATCAACATGGTATACGTAACTTTATTAGATACCATTAACGAGGCCAATATATTCATGAAAGTAGTCTTTGAAGAAGACTGCAGAGGAAAAGTCGTAGAGAGGTTATTTGAAGAAAAAAAAGACTCACTAAGAACTTACCAAAGTTCAAGGTAATGAAAAAAAAAAATAACTGCATAATTTCTACTGTGTTCTTTTTTTGTTTTTATTCTATTTTTATTATTGAGCATACTTATTATCATTATTTTGACATCTTTGTCAGGTAATGCAATCTGGGAGAAATTTACTTTAAAAATAAAAAAATAAAGACTTTCAAATATGAAAACTAAGGGTGTTCATAATTACCGCTAGAACAGTCCTATAAGAAATACTACATTAAGTCCATTATGTTGACAGACATGGTCACTCCCACCTGCAAACCTAGCAACTTGGTAGGCTGAAGCGGAAGAAGAATCATTTTAGGCCAAGAGTTTGAGACCAGCCTGGGCGATATGGTGAGACCCCTTCTTAAAGAAGAGACCTTTATAATAATAATTCTGTTTTTCAGGGAGAGGGTTTTAAAACCTGCTAGAGCTAAAGACTGACTGGAGTCATTTTTAAAAGGCAGGCTCTCATTCAGGTGGCAAACTTGAAAACCCTTGGTTTCGGCTACAGACCAAGAAATGGTTCACCTATTTTGACTCCACTCAAAATTCTGCAGTGACTTCATAACCATCTCAAGCTCCTTCTGGCCATAGTCTAGGAGTGGTTCTGCACATCCAGAGACCCAGAGAAAGATGCCTATTTGTGGTTACAGTGGTAGGTCTGCAGACCTGTGCTCTCTGAAACAGTTCAGGTGACTCAGTTTCAGCACTGATAGTCACAGTTTGTGGCCAGTTCTGCCAAACGAGGCTCCCACAGAGCAACCTGGGGAAATCCTGCCTCAGTAAGAAATACACTCATCCATAGACCTCATATCAGGCCCACCATATACCAACCCTACCGCAGAATACTGCCCTAGAGCTGGCCCTACAGATCAAAGTCCTAAAGGCAATTCAGTCTGCCCAGAAATAAGGGAAGATTAACAACTACCCAGGCTACTGGTAATAAGCCAACTGTAGGCAAACTCCACAACAGGCCAAGAAGCAACCATGTGACCCACATATAACCCCTCTCCACTGCAAAAGGGTTCTATCAGCTAACTGACCCAAGAGAATATTTAAACCTGCTGAAATCAGTCTACAAAATTAGAAAATTTAGATTCAATAAATGTCCATTAAAATTTTCAAAGTAATAGAAAATGCAATCTTAAGAAAGTATATGAAATTACAAGAAACTGAATCGCCAAAGCAGTTTTGAGGATTAAAAACAAAGCTAGGGGCATTATACTTCCTGATTTTAAACTACATTTGAAGACTATTGTAACAAAATAAAATTATCTGCGCATAAAAACGCACACCAGTATCAGTGGGGCAGAACAGAGAGCCCAGAAACAAATCCATCCATGTAAGACAAACTAACCTTTGGCACCAAGAACACACAATGCAGAAAGTGCAGCCTCTTCCATGCTTGGGACTGGGAAAACTGTATACCCAGTAAAAGAATAAAATTGACCATTTTTCTTATACTATATTTTAAAATTATATATAAAATGAGGACTCTAATGTATGACATAAATTCTTAATAATCTTAAAAGAAAATATAGAAACCTTAATATTGGTCTTAAAAATGAATTTTTGAGCCGGGCGCGGTGGCTCAAGCCTGTAATCCCAGCACTTTGGGAGGCTGAGGCGGGTGGATCATGAGGTCAAGAGATCGAGACCATCCTGGTCAACATGGTGAAACCCCGTCTCTACTAAAAATACAAAAAAAAATTAGCTGGGCATGGTGGCTTGTGCCTGTAATTCCAGCTACTCAGGAGGCTGAGGCAGGAGAATTGCCTGAACCCAGGAGGCAGAGGTTGCGATGAGCCGAGATCGCGCCATTGCACTCCAGCCTGGGTAACAAGAGGGAAACTCCGTCTCAAAAAAAAAAAAAAAAAAGCGAGGAAAAAAAATGAATTTTTGGATATGACAGCAAAAGTACAGCAATAAAAGCAAATATAAACAAATTGAAGTGTATCAAACTAAAATGCTTCTGCACAACCAAGAAAAAAACAGAACAAGAAAACCATATCTAGTAAATGGTATCAAAAATATATAAGAAACTCATACAAATAAAACACAACAACTATAATAATAATAGTAAATAAGATTTAAAAATAAGCCAAGGACTAAAGAAACATTTACTAATGAAAACATACAACTGGGCAACAGGTATATAGAAAGGTGTTCAATGTCACCAATCTGGCAGATGCAAATTAAATTCATAATGAGACTTTATACCTATGAGGATTGCTAGTATCAAAAAGAAGACTTTTAAGAAGTATTGGCAAGAATATATTTAAGAAATGCTGTACACCTTTGGAGATGGGTTATTTTTTAGTGACATTATGAAAACCAGTATACAGGTTCCCTTGAAAATTTTTTTTTTTTTTTTTTTTTTTTGAGAGAGTTTCGCTCTTGTTACCCAGGCTGGAGTGCAATGGCGCGATCTCGGCTCACCGCAACCTCCGCCTCCTGGGTTCAGGCAATTCTCCTGCCTCAGCCTCCTGAGTAGCTGGGATTACAGGCACGCGCCACCACGCCCAGCTAGTTTTTTGTATTTTTAGTAGAGACGGGGTTTCACCATGTTGACCAGGATGGTCTCAATCTCTCGACCTCGTGATCCACCCGCCTCAGCCTCCCGAAGTGCTGAGATTACAGGCCTGAGCCACCGCGCCCGGCTTGAAAAATTTTTAATAGTACTACTATACAATTCAGCTATCTAATTTCTGTATATACAATAAACTATCTCAAAGAAATACCTACACCTCCATGTTCACTGAGGTATTTTTCACAATTGATTAGATATAAAAAACAATCTAAAGTGTTTGTAAAAACTGACTGCCCAAAGAAAACATAGCATATATACAAAATATTATTCAGCCATAATAAATAATAAAACCCTGACATTTCTACAACATGGACCAGATGACATTATGCTAAGTGGAACATGACAGAAACAGAAAGGCAAATACTGCATGATCTTACTTCTACGGCGAATACAGGAAGGTTGGACTCCTAGAAGAAGAAATTACAGAGGTGAGTGCCAGGCCCTGGGGGTGGGGAAAGTGGGATATATTGTCCAAATAGTACAAATTTTCAGTTATAAGACAAGTTATTGTAACCTAAGGTATAGCTTTATGACTACAGAAAGTAATACTGTTATGTATGCTGAAAATCTGCTGAGATCTTAATTGTTATCACTACAAAAAAGGTAAGTATGTATTTGTTCATTATGTATACACATATAAAATTAATACATTGTATACAATATATAGGTATTCAATATTTTGTGAAAAAATTCACATTACTGGGATTGTATATATGTTTATATATATACATTTATATATACACTTATGAATGACAGTCATAGTAAGTTTTATACTAAATAAAATTACAACATGATGTCATTTAAAATAAAGTTAAAATTGAGAGTTTAATATGTACTCAGCAACATTTTCAGCTCCCCAGTGACACAGTATAGTTCATAAATACATGAAGTAGATAAACTGAACTATATTACAGTTGAGGAATTTGGCCATATTTACCAACATTTGTTTATATGAAAAGAATAACACTTTGAAGTAACACAGTTTTGCAGTTTGTTTCATTTACAGAGACGCTTAGTGTTTTGATATATAAATTTCTGTAAAATCACATCTGAAGACTCCATGGAATAGAAAATTATAAACCAGGAAGCATACATCTTTTTTGTGGTGTTCCTGAGATTTCTGATCCAAACTGTAATATCACCAAAACTTACAAAGACAGTATCCAAAAAGAGAACTCAAAAAATGGTTTAAAATATAGAGTTTCTCAAAAATACAGATATTGCTATTTCCCCCAGAGCAATGGAAAAGCAGTCAAATCACACATTTTCTTTTAAGCCATGAAAAATACTTTCATGATCACTGTAAACTCAAAAAAAAAACAAAAACAAAAAACAAAAAGACAAAACAAAACAAAAAAACCCCACACACTACTAAAGGGGAAGTACGGTGCTTAGAAAATTCACAAGAATATGACCCAAAAAATGCCCCTATGAAAAAAATGAAGGCTTCTCAGAAACGATTTCCACAGGAGGAAAGCTTCTGGAAGCATGTTAAAATGTCTGGCTTCCTCCTTGACATCAGGAACCATCATTTGTGTCATTTGCTTCATTCACTCCCACCTACCTGGGTATTTGGCTACTGTCTCCTGTTTCTTCAAATTCCAGGGCTCTTTTCTTTGCTCCAGACAGGTAATCAAGTTTGGCTTAAAGATAGCAAGACCTGTTTTATTAGAAAAAAATAACATGACTCTTGCTAGGATAATCCGATTACCAGTCTATGACTGTGCTCAGTAGAGAAGAGAGAACATCATAGAGGCTGTAGAAAATTAATTCCCATCTATTTCCTAACAGAAACTTTGGAATATTTAGAAAGTATTTTAAATTTGTGGGTTCTTAACTCTATTACTCAGTAATACTGAACCAAAAATCAGTTGTGAAAATTGCATTTTTAGGTGTAACAGTACTAAATTTGTACTGCTGTAACAGTAGGTGTAACGCTACTAAATTTCTGATATTACCATTAATTTAGACTGAGGTATGCAGATGAGCTCAAAAAAGGGAAAGATTAATGTTAAGATGAAACATCTTCAAGGTTATACTTTCTACCTCAACAGATACCCAATTTTTTTTCTTTTGGAAGCAGGATTCTGAAACTCATTTATGCAAAGCAGAACCTCCAAAACAGAAAACAAAAAAACAATAAAATATTTAATGTAGAATATGAGTTGTATATTGAAGTTATTCTCACCCAAGGAGACCAGGTTTCTGTAGTTCTCTAACATCACATCCCTATACAAATGCTGCTGAGCAGAGTCCAGGCATTCCCATTCTTCTGGGGAGAATTCTATGGCCACATCCCTGAATGTTAACACTCCCTGAAAAACAAAGCATATTTACCAAGTGGCCATAGAAAGAATTCTTGACTTGACATCAGGTAAAACGAGAGTGAAGAGAGGTAGTTCTGACTTTTATGAGTTACTGCTGTTATCCAGTAGGATACTTCCAGTAGGACACAAATATGCTGTAATGTATCTTTAACTCTGAGAAAAGATGGCGTAAGATCACAAAATCAGTGTATATGCAACACTTTTCTTGATAATACAGTATAAAATAAAGAGCATTAATACACGTATGTGCATTTCTTAATGCTGTATTTACATAATACAAGATAAGTTGTCTAGAGTTCCCATATGGAAACTTCATGGTGAGTTAGGATACTTCTGGAACCTTATTGTGTACAGCAACAAACAGGACATCTTGTTAAAACATAGCTTTTGACTCTGAAAATCTAGGGTAAAGCCTGAGTCTCCAGATTTCTAAGAAGTTTGCTAGTGGTATCATTGCTTCTGGCCCAAGAAGAGTATTTTGTCAAAAATTCAGTAAGTGGCACAGCATAGGTTTTTAGCTTATTTGACCAGTAAAGAAAGATGAGAGGCTTCATTTTCCAGAGCAAGCTACATGCAAAGAGAAAATAAGAAGAAAGAAGAGCTATCAGATTAAATGTGACTTAATCCTGTTTTTGCATAACACTTGATCAAACTCCTCAAAGTACCTATTAATAACAAAGAGAAAAACAACTCTAGAGTGAAAAAATGTCAGAGAGCATATTTACCAAGTAAATAAGATCAACTCTATTAAAAGATATTTGTAACATGTGCTGATTAACAAAGGATACAGCACTACTGTGCTATTATAAATATTAACACAAAAAAGGGTCAACTTAATCTGAGTCTTGTCATAAAGAAACATCAGTTTTAAGCAAAATTTAAGCTATAAATACTTCCCATGTTCTGGAATTTCTAATGATGTATATTAACTCTTTTTTGGTTAAACTTTATTTCAAAAAATTTTAAATTCTGGGATACATGTGCAGAACATGCAGGTTTGATAAGTGGGTATACATGTGTCATGGTGGCTTGCTGCACCTATCGACCCGTCATTTAGGTTTTAAGCCCCGAATGCATTAGGTATTTGTCATAATGCTCTCCACCCTCTTTCCCCCGCATCTCCTGACGGGCTCTGGTATGTGATGTTCCCCTCCCTGTGTCCATGTGTTCTCATTGTTCAAATCCCACGTATGAGTAAGAACATGCTGTTTGGTTTTCTGTTCCTGTGTTAGTTTGCTGAAAATGATAGCTTCATCCATGTCCCTGCAAAGGACATGAACTCATTCTTTTTTATAGCTGCATAGTATTCCATGGTGTATATGTGCCATATTTTCTTTATCCAGTCTATCATTGATGAGCATTAGGGTTGGTTCCAAGTCTGCTATTGTAAATAGTGCTACAATGAACATACATGTGCATGTGTCCTTATAGAACAACTTATAATCCTTTGGGTATATACCCGCTAATGGGATTGCTGGGTTAAATGGTATTTCTGGTTCCAGATCCTTGAGGAATTGCCACACTGTCTTCCACAATGGTTGAACTAATATACACTCCCAAGAACAGTGTAAAAGTGTTCCTGTTTCTCCACATCCTCTCCAGCATGTTTCCTTTTTTTAAATTGTACTATAGGTTCTGGGGTACATGTGCAGATTATGCAGGATTGTTGCATAGGTACACATGTCAATGTGGTTTGCTGCCTCCATCCCCCTGTCACCTACATCTGGCATTTCTCCCCATGTTATCCCTCCCCGACCTCCCCACCCCCTGTCCCTCCCTTGGTACCCCCAACAGACCCCAGTGTGTGATGCTCCCCTCCCTGAGTCCATGTGTTCTCATTGTTTAACACCCGCTTAAGAGAGAGAACATGCAGTGTTTGATTTTCTGTTCTTGTGTCAGTTTGCTGAGAATGATGGTTTCCAGGTCCATCCATGTCTCTACAAAGGACACGAACTCATCCTATTTTATGGCTGCACAGTATTCCATGGTGTATATGTGCCACATTTTCCCTGTCCAGTCTGTTGTCGATGGACATTTGGGTTGGTTCCAGGTCTTTGCTATTGTCAACAGTGCCGCTATGAACATACACGTGCATGTGTCCTTTAACAGAACGATTTATAATCCTTTGGGATATATACCCAGTAATGGGATTGCTGGGTCAAATGGAATTACTATTTCTAGGTCCTTGAGGAATCACCACACTGTCCTCCATTTGCCAATTTTGGCTTTTGTTGCCATAGCTTTTGGTGTTTTGGTCATAAAGTCTTTCTCCGTGTCTATGCCCTGCATAGTACTGCCTAGGTTTTCATGGTTTTACGTTTAAGTCTCTAATCCATCTTGAGTTAATTTTTGTACAAGGTATAAGGAAGGGGTCCAGTTTCTGTTTTCTGCATATGGCTAGTCAGTTTTCCCAGCACCATTTACTAAATAGAGAATCCGTTCCCCATTTCTTGTTTTTGTCAGGTTTGTCAAAGATCAGATGATTGTAGATGTGTGGTGTTATTTCTTAGGCCTCTTTTCTGGTCCATAGGTCTATATATCTATTTTGGTAGCAGTACCATTCTGTTTTTGTTACTGTAGCCTTGTAGTATAATTTGAAGCCAGGTAGCATGATGCCTCAAGCTTTGTTCTTTTTGCTTAGGATTGCTTTGGCTATATGAGCTCTTTTTTTACTTCCATGTGAAATTTGAAGTAGTCGTTTTCTAATTCTGCAAAGAAAGTCAATGGTAGGTTGATGAAAAATAGCATTGAATTTATAAGTTACTTGGGGCAGTGTGGCCATTTTCACAATATTCATTCTTTCTATCCATGAGCATGGAATTTTTTTCTGTTTGTTTGTGTCCTCTCTTATTTCCTTGCTTTAGCATCCTAGACAGGGAGTCTCTTCTAATTATTTTTTATTCAGAACTTTCTGATTTATCCTGGGCGATAAATACCATTCTCATTAAACGTGCATTTTTATAAGCAGTTTTGCATAGATTTAATGAAAACTAAACAGTACATGATCTCTTTCTTCACTGATAACCAAGAACCTATCCCATCTCAAACAGGAATCTTGGGCATTCACAGTTTTCTATGTTTGTCAGCCACAAAAGAAACATTTGGAATGTTGCAGGTTATAAATTCACGGTGACAATTTTTTCATGGCTTATTAAAAGCTGGAATATAGAGAATAGAGAGAAGGCTCTGATATATAAGAAAAAAAGTGCCGGGCGCGGTGGCTCAAGCCTGTAATCCCAGCACTTTGGGAGGCCGAGGCGGGTGGATCACAAGGTCAAGAGATCGAGACCATCCTGGCCAACATGGTGAAACCCCGTCTCTACTAAAAATACAAAAAATTAGCTGGGCATGGTGGCGCGTGCCTGTAATCCCAGCTACTCAGGAGGCTGAGGCAGGAGAATTGCCTGAAGCCAGGAGGCGGAGGTTGCGGTGAGCCGAGATCGTGCCATTGCACTCCAGCCTGGGTAACAAGAGCGAAACTCCGTCTCAAAAAAAAAATAAAATAAAATAAAATAAGAAAAAAAGTATTTCTCAGAGCCCCTTGACTATCATGAGAATAAAAGGTGAAAAAGGAGTTGAACTGATTAGACAAGATCATCATAAGTTGAGAAGTAAACTGTTGCAAGTTCTACACACATATTTCAGAAAAAAAGTGGACACAATCTCCGACCTGAGACACATTCACTTCAGAATAAGCCATTTTTTTCTTTTTCTCCTAATTCCCTGTGATCCTTTTCTGGGTGTGATTATCTGCATAAATTACACCTGTTTCTTGAGAATATGTCTTTGAAGCATCAGCAAAACTCCTTCCCTTGAAACCACCACACCCACAGGCAGAAAGACCTAGAATTGCAGATAAAGACTGCCTTTGCGTGTCCTTTATCACAGGAGAGGTTCACAACCAGTAAACTCCTACATAAAAAGCAAAATTTGAGTTTCCCCTTTCCAACATTCAGTTACCCTTCTCTGCCACAGATGCCAGCAATTTCTACTGCAGCAATGGGAATATGGGCTGCACTGATCTGCCCCTGCCAAACCCCAGTAGAGCAGTCTCTATGATCTTCATCATTTGGAACTAAAGGTACACTCATCTCTTGTAAATGTATCTGAAAGCACTGGTGGTTAACCATGGGCTCACCTTAGCCTCACATGTGGCACTTAATTCAAACAACATAGCTGAAGAGGGGGAAGTGGAGACTAAATAGCACCCTCCAGCAACCAACCCCCAGATAAAACCAAGCAGAATGACCATCCAAATAAGAAACATCTTCATAACAACCAAAACTCTGGGCAGTGATTACAGTACCAAGTTTTAGCATCACATCAAGAGGCACTAAAGAGGGTAAAAAAGAAAAAAAGAATAGAGGACCCCTCCTCTATTCCCTGCAAGTGCAGCTTGGCAGAGAGAGAGAATTTGTGTGCTTACAAAAGGGAGAGTGCAGTGATTATGAGACTATGCAGTAAAACTCAGTGCTGCCTGTCATAGCAGAAAGCAACATGGGGCAGAGTCCAGCCAGTGGCCACAGGGGGAGCACTCGGACTAGCCTAGTTGAGAGAAAGTGTCCATTTTAGTGGTCAAAACCTGAGTTTCAGGTAGCCCCACCACCATGGGCTAAAGCACTCTGGGGATCTAAATAAACTTGAAAGGCAGTCTAAGCCACTGGGACTGCAATTCCTGGGCAAATCCCGGGGCTCTGCTAGGCTCAGAGTCAGAAAGCTTGAAGTGCATGTGACCTTGTGAGATGCCAACTGGGATGGCCAAGAGAGTGCATGCATCCCCCTGACCCCAGGCACAGGCAGTGCGGTTCACAGCTCCAGAAGAAAATATTTCTTTCTACTTGAGGAGAGGGGAGAGAAGAGTAAAGACTCTGTCCTGCAACTTGGATATCATCTCAGCCACAGTAGAACAGAGCACCAGAGTAAGTGCTGAGGCCCCCATTCTAGGGCTTAGTTTTTGGGTGACAGTTCTTAGACATAGCCTGGAACAA